TCGAGGTTATCACAAAACCGCTTAACAATCCAAAAGACATAAGAAGAATTGTTTGAATGGAGATGAGATCAGAAAAGAGCAACCTGAACTTGTATGGAATCGAGAACATTTTCGAGAGTTATGATTAGTTGGACGCAGAATTAAAATAAGGAAGACTCCAGGTATGCAAGTGAGACATCATGGTCTGAAACCTGTAGAACCTTGTATGCTCCTGAGAGCACTTCAAATCTCATCTTCATTTTTAAGCGAGACGGTTAAACTGTTACCAAGTCGGGAAGTTGTTCGGAATTTTTGCCTAAAATCGAGATGTCTCGCGAGTCCTTTTCAACATTTGAACCATTTGAACCTTAGGAAATCAGAGTTTTCGTTGTTGTTAGATTCAATAGAGAAGGTGGCTTGCTGAGTAATTTTCAAAAAAAAACAGTAACACGTAAGGCTCTCTCCCACAACCCCTGCCATTTTGGGTGATATTATTGAGAATTAACCGCTAGTTTTTAGTCCCACTACTTAGTTCAGGCATACTGGGGCAATTATGCGCCCCTGGCCTCAGATTTGTGAATGATTGAGCGGATAGGAAATTTATTACTTCTACAATACCGTTGTCCAAGGTGCCTCTGTGCGCTTGAAATATGGAAGTAATCAAATTTTCAGTTTGCACATACACGTCTAAGCTTCCTTATCGAGGGGCTGTCGTTCATGAGAACGCTAAGCTCTCCACGTGGGAAGTTGTGGGATTAGCCGTTTCTGGGGGTTCCTTCGAAACTTTGTAACACATTGTGTATTGCAATGCTAAGCTGTGTTTTTGAACTTTTTTTTCACGGCATAGGAATGTGGATTTTTGCATTTCGATAGCTAGTCAGAGAAAGGGCAGGGCGACAGGTTTCTCTGCAACTCCTGCTGTTCGGTTAATGCTACATAACATCTCCCTTCTATTACCCTTGTGGATGGCTAATCACTTTAGTTTTTGTCTCTCAATGAAATAGACTTAATCAAAAATTTTTTAAGAGCGATATAGCTACATGATCCAATTCGAAATGAGATTAAGTGGAAATGTTTTCAGGAGATACTTGGAATGTATCCGTGGTCTAACACCGGATTGGATTGTGAATAGTATTGTCGAAGGCAGACTGAACAAACGCTTCGATCATGAACGTTACGGTTTGAAACCGAACCATCGAGTTTTCAGGTGCGTCTCCGAACCTCACTCCTATAGTTGACCATTCTTCCTTTATTTTTGCACTTTTACTTGCTCTGCAGTGCGATGCCTAGGTATTGTGTTAATACCGTCCTCCCAGTTTCGGTTTTCACAAATTGTTTTAGCGCTCATCCGACCGTGAACGATGAACTGCCAAATCGTATTGCATGTGGCACCATACGAGTGAAGCCGAACATTCTTGAGTTCGGGGAACGCTGCATAACCTTCGAAGATGGATCCCGCGTCGAAAATGTGGACGAAGTTAGTCACTCTAGATGCACGGTTGTTGTCCGAACGTATGCGAAACCTGACAAGCCTCTTAAGAAGACACTCAGCCGCTCAGGGAAATTTAGGGATGTCAGTAGAGTATAATCAAAGCCAAAAACCACTTTGGTATCTCTTGAATACCCTTCTGCTAAGCACGTGCTTGAATTCAAGACAAGTTGTTAACGATTCAGCCTTGTTCATGTGAAGTGGCTTTTTGGGTGTTTTGCGTGAAAAGTTTCTCATGATCAGCACTTAAGAACCTTAGAACTTTCGTTACAAGGGTTCGAAGTCACTCAAGCCAAAGTAGCACTGTGAGCATGAAAAGGAGAAATACCGAATGCAGATCTGCGCCGCCATGTTTTCAATTTGCGGTCCCTATCGTAGCATGCGTTGCTCCAGCTAACAAGCCACATTTTCTTCAGCAGCGGAAGAGCTGCTCAGAACTCCCGATCATTCAATCTGTTCCTTTTCAGGTCATATTTGCCACTGGCTTTCAATTTCATTTCCCTATGGTGGAAAACGGGAAACTGATCCCTGTACAAGACAACGTCGTTGATCTATACGAGTTTATGTACCCGACAGAGACTGCAGACCATAACAGTTTAGCCGTCATAGGACTCATTCAGGCAAGATTTCAATCTTCCCAATGCTATGATTAATTTTCGCTGTGTTTGATCATTTAATCTGTTCTCCGGACTATCTTCACAACAGCACCCTCTTACACAAAACCCCTACTGTAAATCAAACCCTAGTTTTGAAGATTGAAACCTTGGTTAAAACCTACTCGGTCAAGTCCACAATAGCTAATTATTTAGCGTTTACAATAAAAACATCTCACAAAATCGCAAAACTGTGGAACTCTGTGAAGATCAGTTCGAGTCAGTTCGCTCGAACATTTGAGACCTCAATATAGGATCCCATTTAAATGCACTCCGATTGAAGTGAATGGTGGAGGAAGAGAAGTTATGTTAAGAGATGTCAGGTAGATATTTTCTTGTTGTTTTTCAGCCTCTTGGCTCAATTATGCCGATATCAGAGATGCAAGCCAGACTTTTCTACGAAAACCTCTTCGGATCTCAAAGAATTCCCTCTCCTGCAGAGGTATGTGCTGCGAGGCTGATTGATTTATAGCCATGAAAGCTATCACTCATTTACAAGCTTTTAGATGAAGAAGTCCATTCGAGATAAAAGGGATGCGATGAACGCTCGCTATGTTGCAAGTCCGAGGCATACCATCCAAGTTAGTTGTGTTTTATTATTATTATCCTCGCTACAGTCGAAAGAATGCTTCTATTAGAAATACTACATGTTTTCATCGTCTCTAAAAGTCTGTTTTTCATGTCGATTACATTGCATACATGGACGAGCTGGCCAGATTAATCGGATGCAAGCCAAACGTTGCAAAACTTTTCATGACGGATCCTCTCCTAGCATTGCAGGTTAGATCGTTGAACCTTTCGACGCATAGAAACATCAAAAGAGCACATCCTATGTGGAGTTCAAATCACGTCTCTATTCAAAACGTCGAATTGACCTGATTGGAAATAGTCGAATGACTAAATCCTAGCATCCTTCTTTTCAGACGCGTTTCAGCCAAAAACTTAAAGGCACAATTCATGAAAAAATGATTCCGGAGATTTGCAAATGGTTTGTATTCGACGCCCCCTCTGATACCAATTGTGCAGGAATGAGGTCGGAAAACGGTCTGGAGAGGGCACAATAAGGGGCCGGAGAGTGAGCCACGGTCGCCCTCCGCCCCTCGCTAGGCTGACTACGAAATCTAATTGCCGTTCACCAGTTTCGCATTGGAGCGAAGTTGGTGAAAATTCCATAAGCTGGTTGGCAAACTGCCAGAGACGGTCAGCTGGTCGACCGCCTCCTCCTGGTACAAGTATTCGGCTGTATTTCTACTATTCGACTAATGTTCTGCTCTATTCCGTTCTAGTAAATTATTCTCAGCCGTCATCAAAAGGATCAGGCACAATAATCTCAAAATCTTAATATCGTCAGTAGAATAAATAATATTAATGAAGAAGCCAAAAACAGCCGTTTGAACGTGTTGTGTGCAATGACAGACTTTACGTCGCATTCGTCTACTCGCCTGAAAATTCCCTTAATCGCCATTTTTCGACTATAAAACTCGTTCAACCCCTTTCTCTCTTTTTTTTGACCTTTTATATTTCTTTTTTTTCGTTGTTTTTCGCGTTTTATGCTATACCATTGTCCTGGTGTAGGCCTTACCTATCACTATCTGTGAAATACCGGATACCCCTGAATTATCGTGAACGGTGCCTTTAAGCCAAACGTTATGTAACACGGATTTCTTTTGCAAGTCATTCATGTATTCCAAAAATATTTACTTTCATGATATGCAATAAATGAAAAGAATGGTAAAGCTATCGAAGTTCAAGTTCGATACCACTTGTTAGTAGCGAGTTTTGAAGGCTCCGTGTCTTCACACCACTTTGGTACCGAAAGAGACTGTCAGCCTTCATCAGTATTGCAGTGGGGCGCTTCCATACTCAGTTCAGTTGAAAAAGCCCCTCGATACCTAAGAATATCCGCGTATGGCAACACACAAGGGAAGTCAAGGGAAGATGTGTCAGGTTCACATCTGCCAGATAAAAATAAGGGACCCGCTGTCGAGGATTCGATTCGAGGAGGAAGTGATAGCTAGTTTATGCGATGGCCCATCATACATACATACATAATGCATGTATGTATGTATGTATGTATGTATGTATGTATGTATGTATGTATGTATGTATTTATGTGTTTATGTGTATGTACGTACGTACGTATGTATGTACCATAAAATTCCATTGATAAGAGCGGTTGAAACTACCGGTGAAAAATGAATTGGAATGAAATTGAAATTGGCTGCAGTCACCCTATAACTTGATGGATGGATAAATTAAACTTCGAAGAAGAAGAAGTCAAGAAGCTCCGCTCTTAACTCCAAACCCCGCCCACTTAATAAA